TTACATACGCCAACTATGTTTTAAACACTGCTGGAGCTGATGGACTTAAAGAAATAAGCAGGACAGTTCCTGCCCTCTAGGGGCTTAAAAGAGTAGAGTGATGAGTGTTATGCTGAAATGGAGCATGCTTCCCAGGATTTTGGCCATCAGCCTGTAAGAATCAGGGACTATCCCTAGAACTCAGCACTGTGCTTGGTACACAGTAAATGCTCACTGAATATTTGCTGACAAGTTGTTCCTTTAAAGGGAGGCAGAAGTTGAGTCCACTGGATTTAGAATCAGAAGGTCATTGCCAGTAGAGAGAGGTTTGGAAACTAGGCTGGAGAGGGTTGAGAAACAGGAGAAAACATGGAGATGCATCATGAACAGGTGATGACTCTTTCCACAACCTGAAAGAGAAGGAGAGAGGGTGAACATAAGCTAAGGAGAGAGCTTTTATTTTTAAGGTGAGAGAGACCTGAACAAATTTATAGATATAAGGATCCAGTAAAGAGGTGACAAAAAGAGAGAAAGAAAATACAGTTCCTGAGAAGGTGGGAGGAGACAGCATCCTGACCTTGAACAGGAGAGGCAACAGGGAAAGGATGGTGGAGGAGGGATGTAGAGGTGAATGGGCATGCAGGTAAATCTGTAGATTGGAGGCTGAGAAGTTGAGAGTTCTTGACTGTTGATGACCTTTATTTTATCTGCAGGGCTGGATATGAGATGTCTGCTTAGAATAGGGATAGAGGTATAGCAGAGGTATTGAAGATGGTAAGGGTAGGTTCTGAGAACAATGACCAAAGACAGGACACAGGAGTGGGAAGCAGTAGCAAGATGCTAGTAAGGTAACACTACCAAGTGTTGCCATCTCGGCTGTAGTTTCTTTCTCCATGGGTGATTCCCTGGTACTGAACTGGCTGGACGTGGAGTCATAAGGAGAGAGTTGTCAAGTGAAAAAGGCGATATGTGAAGCATGGGGCTCCATATGATTTTGGTGGTTGACTTGGATTTGCTGAATGAATGATTCAATGAATAAATGAGAGGTGTTATAGTGTGATGGTTAAAGGGATACATTTGGTCCAAAATGCTGCTCTACCATTTACTCATAGTACCAGCCTCACAGGGTTGTTGAGATGGTTGGCTGAGATACTGCAAGCAAGTCAGGTAGCCCCAGGCCTGATATGTAGAAGGACTTAGTAAATGGTAGCTTTTCCTCATTTACGCAGGCCATGGCTGGTAGGAGCCAGTCAGTGGAGGATTCTAAGCAGGAAGGTGATGTGGTCAGATTTATTTCTTAGGAAGATCCCTAGCGCCATAAGGACTGGGTTTGAATTCAGCTCTACCACTTAACTAGTTGTGTGATCTTGAGCAAGTAAATCATCCTCTCTGTGCCTCAGTTTCCTAATCCTCCCAAATGGGCATAACAGTACCCACTGTTCTGATAGGGTCATTATGAGAACTGAATGAAGGAATTCAAAGAAGGCTAGTAAACTGAAGAGCTTAATAAATGACAGCTATGGTGAGGATGATGGAAGGAGGAGGAGGGAGAGGACGAGGAGGACGAAGAAGAGGAGGGAGAGAGGCAGGAAGAGGAGACAACAATGATAATGATTATGAGACACAGTAACCAAGAGGCCACAGATGAGAGTGATGAAGAGGAGCAGTGGGTAGTGATGATGTGAGTCCCAATTCCTGAGCACTTTTTTATCTGAGGATAGAGGAGCAATGGTGAGGATGTGGTAATGGAGAATGAGCATGGAGTCTTCCTGGCCCTTGCAGGGGCTAAAGGGTACACGTGAAAAGGTGGTGTCCACTGGAGATGGCTGCAAAGGAAATGGTATCCGAGGAAAGCTTGTCTTAGGTTTGGAAAGGAGACTGTGGGGTGGGGACCATGGATGCTGGCTCAGGAGAAACCTCACCAAGCAGTAGAGGCCATAGTGTGTCCCATCCCAGCTTCACCACCCTTTTCAGGTGCCCTTCACTGAGTCTCCCCTGAGGTGAGGTGATGTCCACACTGAGCTCCTTCTGAGCAAAGCCCATCCCAAGGCTCTGCATCTCTCTCAGAAACTGGAACAGAACATACGTTTAGGGGCAGGTGGACATGCTTGGGCCTAGTCCGGTAAGGCCTCCTATATGGGAATCTCCTATATGGTGTCCCTGTTTGCCCTGTGGATTTCCCAGACTGTGAGCCCACCTATGCTGCCTTTCCCCGGAGGCCCTGAGTCTCTCCCTCCTCTAGGCTTGGCCTCTGACCTCTGCTTTTAGGTCACCTCCTAGGTCAGGCTCTGCAGCCTAGATAGACAAATGCTTCACTCTTTAGTGTAACTGGGCTTTTCTAACAGCAACACCACCAATAATAATAATAATTATAATTATAATAATAAAACAATAAATAGCATTAATAATTGCCACAGACAGCATTTACTGTTGATCACTAGGCTAGGTGCTTCTATATTTCATCTGGCTTAATTTTTAAAACCACCCTGAAAGATGGGTAATACCACTCCTGTTTCATATGTGACACTAAATCTAAGAGGCCTAGGTAATTTGCCTAAGGTAACACAGCTAATAAGTCACAGCATCGAAATGTAAGCCTAAGTCTATGTAACCCCAAGGCACTAGATGGGAGGGGCCTGGAGAGTAGCCTCTCCCACATTAACCTATGTCTCAGATGCCAGAGAAGTGAAGTAGAGCATGGAGAAGTCCTGTGAAGGCATTAGTCCTGGGCTTGAGGTGGAGAAGAGTACTAAAAAGAGGCTTCCTGGGTAGCCAGGAGGGCCTAGGCTGGCCTGCTCTGGGTGCTGGGACTGGTAAGGCCATCATTGGCGTTCCTGTGGCAGCTCATTCTAAAGACCCAAATTATCTTTGATTTTGGAGCCAGGGAAGGCTCACAGAACTTCAGAGGACTCCTCTCTGTCTCCTCTCTCTCTTTCCAACTCACCCCATCAACCCTGAAAACGAGTTCTCACCAACACAAGGCTGGTCCCAGATCCCTGGGCATGGTCTGGACAGGACAGGCCACAGACATCAACACAGGTGAGGGTGTGCTTGAGCACAGCCCACACTTCCTCATCCCAACTGCTCTTGTACCTTGGATCAGCCTGCAACCAAGGACAGGCTAGGTGGTGCACTCCTCAGAGTCTTCCTAGGAAAAAAGAGGCCCTGCTGTCTGCTCCCTGAGTGGCCTGGGTAGTGAGTCTTCTAACTCTAGTTGGTTTCCTTCCTTTTCTCTTTCCTTACTCCCTTGGATGAACTGTAAGAGCCTTGAATTAACTGACTTTGGTGTTCTTGGAAGGAACATGTGATAACACCCATCTAGCTGGCCCTGACCTATCCCGCTGACCTCCTGACTTGGGCTGCCTGTCCTATCCCAGTCTGCCCAGCAGGAAGCAGGACCTGGTGTTTGAGCCAATTCTAGATCACTTATGGTGGTCGGGCACTGAGAGGTTAAAAAAAGCAAATGGGACAAGGGTCCTGCCCTCTGGGAGTACCTGTGGCAGGTGTCCATGGGCAGAGGAAAGGATATGCCAGGAGGGAGTGGGCAGATGGTCAGAAGGCCAAGGTGAGAAAGCAGCTCCCAGGCTCTCTGCGGTTCACCAAGGCAGACACAGTTTTCCTCCATTTCTCCCTTAAAAGTGCCTACCTGTGATCCCAATTCTATTGCCTTCAAGGCAAAGAGACAGGTTCTCCTAGCCCCATATTCTCTGCCTTGTTTGCTTGGCAGTGGGCATGCTTGCAGCAGGGGCTGGCTGAAGCCAAACCCTTTCCTCCCCTTTAGGGAGCCTGGCTGGACTCAGTGGAGCCTGGCTGCCTCATTCAGCCTGGCTCCGAGGTGGGCTCCCCTTCCCTACTGTCCCACCTACCTGAATTTTTGGACCTGACTTCTGTCTTCTCTTTCTTGCTACCTACTTGACACTGCCTGTACTTGGCCTTGCTTGGGAAAAGGCGGTGGAGTTAAATCAAATTGCATTGAGACGACCACAGGCGAGTTACGCTGTTCCCACCCCACAACTCTCCTCTAAACCTCCAGAGAGAACAACCAGCTTCTTACTGTAGGCGGAGGGTCGTCTGTCATCATTCTCCTCTGGTAGGAGGCCTGGGTATTAGAAGATGAATGGCCTGAACTCTGCAGTGCCCTTCCCCTGGGGTGGCTGGTGACAGCTGGTTGAGGGAAGAGGGAGAACAAGCCTGGACAAGTTGGCAGGTGTCCCTGTAGGCCCAGAGCTGAGACACAGAGGACTCAGGAGGGGACTCAGTGGGTGGTCCATTAAGGAGCAGTCTGACCATACTGGTCCACATAAACCCCCCTAAAGAAACGGACCTTGACCACTGCCCATCTAGAACAATAAGTGTAGAATCTGATCATTCCCAGAGTAGAACCAGACTCAACGGCAGGCTGGGGGCCCAACTTCAGGTCAGTGGTAAAAGTACAAAGTGGAGAGAGGTCAGAGCTTATGCATGAGTTTGAGAATTGGTGTGAAGTTGAGGGGTCTGCTGTTCCTCCAGAATGGCCCCAAGGTCTGAATAAGGCCTTCCTCCCTTGGCTGGGAATGAGGGTGGACCCACACAACCAGAGTCAGAGAGACTTCACAGAAAGTAAGAGGGACTTGGGGAGGCAACTACAAGGTCAAGGCAGGAGAGTATAAAGATTAGGAGTAATACTAGAGATAGCCACATAAGAGCTTTCTCTAGGGCCAGGAAAAGGCCTGCAGGGGCTGTTGAGGAGGGACTCAGGGTCTGGGTTGGGGTGTGGCTAGAGAAGGCTGAGAAAGGACCTGCAGCCTGGGTATCTGGAGGCAGGTAGCAGATATCAGGAATATCAGCTCCAGGAGTCTGGGCCAGTCACCCTTGGCCTCTATGTCCCTTGACTGTGTTTGGGTATCTTTCAGCTTTTGGTTATTAATGCTTCTTTTGAAAGGTTCCTCCTTGTTCTTTGCTGGGTTCAGGGGAAAGGGTTGACTTGGAAGCTGGGCACGGCCCGGGCAAGAGGGGAAGGAGCTGGTGTACAGGGAGCTCACCACTCTCTCCTTGTAGACGATATACTTCAGCCACTTGAAGTCCTGCCACTTGAAGCCAGCGAGGACAAAGAGAGAATCGCGTTCATATTGCTCAGGCCGCTGCATGGCGCCCTCAGGGTAGGTGATGCGCAGTGTAGTTTTGCTGCCCACGTCCTTCTCAAAGCCTTTCACTGGTGCTGAGTTCAGTCTACAGAGAGCAGGCCCAGTCAGAGCCTACCTTGGGCTCACTGCATATGGTCTGTGTGTCTGTTTGGGGAAGTACTCTTGTTGACCCCAGAACACCCCCGGTGCAGAGAGTGGGGAGCCCAGGTCACCTGGTGCCATCTAGATTTCCACTACAAAATCGTCCAACCCAGGATTCTTCTTGGAGCTTCTGCTGACATTCCAGCCCAACTGGCCATATGGACAGACAGTTGTCAATGGGCTCAGGGACCAGGGTTTGGGCCAGGACACTCTGGTGCCCAAGGCAGTGCTTCAGGGAGCTCACCTGACCACAATGTCATAGTCATCAATTCGTGACCCCAGAGACTTGTTGGCAAGGACACCTCCATTGCCCACGATGATGCAGCGGCGGCAGCTGAGGCTAAAGGGAGAGAGGCAGAGACCTCTGGAGAGCTGTCCACAAGGTCTCCTTCTTCCTTACCCCTTTGGCCCTTGACCCCATGCCCTTGGCCAAGCACAAGCTGGGATAGAGGAAGAAGACTGATGAGATTCTGGCAGCATTTCTGAGAAGAGGCCAGAATCACACTGCGGGTAGCTGGGCCACCTGGAACTCTCGGACACCCCCAATGGGTGTGGAAAGGGCTCAGGCACTAGCTCTGGAGAGGTGAGGAAGGAGGTCCTGGGAGATGGCTTTCTGGATGAAAGATTCCTCAAGTTAGTGAGGTTTAGGCACCTTTCAGGAGAGAGGAAAAAGTGGGCTGAGCTTAAAGGGTATGCCAGAAAAGCAGGAAGAGAGAAATAGGACTGGAGGCTCCGGGACTCAGGGCGGGCTTATATTCAACTCAGAAGCCCCTATGCTCCCAATAGCCACCAGAGGACCCTACTCATTTTGCTCTCCTGCCCCTGATCATGGGGCTTCCTCTATCTACAGTCTCTTGGCTTCAGAGCTGTCACTGCCTCCTAGATGTAAGCCATGGCTCCTTCAGCTGCCACCACCACCTAGCTCCTCAGTTCCAACGCTGGGCATATCCCAGCTCAGTGTCTTTAGTTTTTGCCCTCAGAATTTTGCTGTCTGAGGACTTAGATGTCTTGCCAACAGGGTGCAAGCCCAGCTGGATTGCCCCCTTTTTGCTCACCCACCTCAGCGTGTGAACTGTGTGCGCATGTGGGGATATGCTGGAGAATCTGCTCGTGTCCAGGAAAGGCCCGCTGCCAGCTGAGGGGCAGGAGGCTGGGCAGCAAGTGGCTCACCTGTCCAAGGCCGGGGTCAGGCGGTACTGTTTGGTGACTGACAAGATGGCTTTGATCAGATTGTCTGTGGATAGAGGAGAGAGGTTACTGTTAGAGGGTCACTTTAAGTTCCTATGACATGTATGGCCAATGAGCCGACCTGGAAGCACATGTTCCTGGGGCTAGGGAGGAGGTGAAGGTGGAGAGAGGGAGCTCTGGGCACTAGGTTGGCTGGGCCACTGGCCTGTCTCCCTGAGAAAGGAGACAGGGGCAGGAGAACAGGTAGGTACTCAGCTCTGCCTGGAGCCAGTCTTCAGCACCAGCATGCAGTTTCTTCCCTAGCCCTTCCCTGGCAGTCTCATCTGGCTTTGGGAGGCTCTGCAGTCAGGCCCCAGGACATGCGTGCCCAGGCCCGGGCCTTGTCCGGATGAGAGTACCTACTCAGAGATAGGGACTACATTGTGCTCATTCCTGTGCCCTCACCAAGCAGATGCCAGAGAGCCAATGAAGAGGAAACCAATGATGAAGAGAAGAGTGGTCCCAGTCAGCTAGCCCAGCCAGACCACTCTGCCTCATTTCTTCCCTTTACTTCCTCCCTTGAACACTGCTGATCTCGAATCCTGTTACTGCCAGGCTGTGTCTACCTCCTTACCTCCTTACTTCTTCAAGCCCTGAGGCCTGGCATCTGCCCACCTGTACTCCCCTCAAGCTGCCCTCAGCAAGGGCCTCATGACCTCTGTGCTCTCAGAGCCTGTGCTCACTAGTCAGACCTCACTCTTCTTGGTCTCTCTCTAGCTTTTGAAATGATGATTGCTCTCTTTTCGAACTCTGGTATAATGAGAGCATTATAATATAATGTATAATGATGTTAGCTTTGGAGTTAAATCCTGGCTCTGCTACTTAAGACCTTAGATAAGTCACTTTCTTTGCACTTTAGATTCCTCATCTTTCAGATGAAGATGGTAATTCCTACTCTGCAGACTTGTTAGAAAGATAAAAAAGACAATGTGAATAAAGATCTAAAGCTAAAGTCAGTAAATTGGTACAACCTTAATAATATCAAGCATCTTAATAATATCAAGTGAAGATGTAGATGTGTATAGACCGAGATCTCGCAACTCTACCCTTAGGTGGACAGCATTATAACATCCAGACAAATGTTTAAGAGGACTTGCACGAGAATGGTCATTGCAGAACTGTAATAGCAAAACATTAGAGGTAATGTAAATGTCCACCAAAGGAAGGAAAATAGAGTAAATGTGGTACACAGAATACTACACAGCAGTAAAAACAAATATACAAATAAACAAATGACCTAGAGCTATGTGTACAAATACAAATAAATCTGAAGAGCATAAACAAAAAAATCAATTTGAAATACACACACACACACACACACACATTACCATTATAAAGTTTAAAAACATGCAAAATCAATGCCATTTATTTAATGAATATACATATGTTGTAGAAATATATAAACAGGCATTGGAATGATAACACCAAAACCAGGATAATGGTCTTCTGGGGTCAGAGGGTCATGGAGTGGGAAGGGGCCACACAGAGCTTTAATTGTATCTCATGTTTTATTTGTCAAGCTGTATAGAGTACATGAGTGCTCATTATATTAGTCTTTATGCTTTTATATATATATATATATGTATATATATATTTTTTATTCACTTGATATAATTTACATAACTTCCAATCTTACATATTTGACCCCTTTTACCCCATCTATCTCCCCCCTCCCCTCCACCAATAGACTAGTGGTCACCTCTCGTGACCACTAGTCTATTGTCCATGTTCATGAGCCCCCCTTTTACCCCATCTATCTCCCCCCTCCCCTCTCCCCTCCACCCTCTGGTGACCACTAGTCTATTGTCCATGTTCATGAGTATCTGTTTGTTTGTCCTGTTGCTTTAGGTTTATATTCTACATATAAGTGATATCATGCGGTTTTCAGTTTTTTCTGTCTGGCTTATTTCACTTAGCATGATTATCTCAAGGTCCATCCACGTTGTCGCAAATGGCAGTATTTCATCTCTTCTTATGGCTGAGTAATATTCCATTGTATATATGTACCACAGCTTCTTTATCCAATTATCTATCATAGGACACTTCGGTTACTTCCATGTCCTGGCCACCGTGAATAATGCTGCTATGAACACTGGTGTGCAAATATCTTTATGATTTTTTATGTGCCTGAAATATTTCACATAAAGAAAGGATGCCTCCAAAATTAAAAATAACCACCTCATAATTTTTTAAAAGACAGGATGGGAAGACGCTGTGAGATGCAGCTGAGAGGTCAGGTTAAGGACTAAAAAGTATCCTTTGGACCTCACAGGAGCACTGAGCAGTTTCACTGGAATGGGGGAGGGGAGACATTTTTTTCAGGAGTAAATGGTGAGAGAGGAGACAGAAGACACAGCTAATCTTTCCAGAAGTTGAATGGGAAAAAGAAACAAACATTTAAGGCATGCTCCATACTAAGTGCCTTCAGATATATGTGACAGTGGCTTTAGGGAGGGCCACAGCTCCCCTCCTTTTCCCACCTCCAATTTCACCTCTAAGGAAGCATATGGCCATTTATTTGCCACCTGGGTTTTTGTTTTCTAGGAGGGGAACCTTAGCAGAAAGGACATACACTTTTGGGCTCTCTGTTCTTGCTGGCGGCCAGTGGCTCTGCACTGGTCTTTCCTGGCCTTTGTAGCTTAGTAGGATCAGAGGGTTGAGTGAGGATTCAGAAGATAGGAGTAGGCTGCTTGGCTACTTGCACCCAGGAAAAAGGGGTTCTTTATATGGTTCAGCCCAACTCCTTAGATCTGTCCTTGGAGGTCTGAGGTCAAAGCTCCAGTTTAAGAGTGTCCTTTTGCTGGCCACTGTCTTCTTTTCAAGGAGGAGTAGGCTGGCTGACTGGAGAGTTCAGGTATTCTTGGGTCCCCTGGCCAAATGATATCAGCCCTTTAACAGCTATCTTATTTAATTCTGACCACAACCAATTACAATGGTATTATTCTCTCCATTTACCTGCTGAAGAAACTAAAGCACAAACAAGTTAAGTAACTTGTCCAAGGTCACAGCTGGTAAAGAGGTAGTACTGGGATCTGATCCTTCTGTCTGATCCTAAAGCCCAAACTCGACCAAACCAAGAAATAGTACAGGAACTTGACAAGAAAACAGAACTGTTAAACTATCAGAAATGAAAAAGTCTTTTTTTTTAAAAAAACATTTATGAAGGGTAGTTAGTATATTTAGTTAATATTTTTGTTGCACTCGACATTCAGTAGAAGTAGAGCTACTAAAAATGGGAGTTCTGTAAGATTTTTGACATTTAAAATGAATATTTCAAAATAGGGAAATCTATTAAACTACATGTAAATAGAGACACACTTTAAAAATTTTAACTTCTCTAAATATTAAGTAAACGCAAACTCTTCCAGTTTTAGACAGTTACCCAAAGAGTTTCACATTCCAGCGTGTGATGATCTTGCTAAGCTTTCCACAGCGAGGGATGGGAAAGTCCTAAGTCAGGAGGGTCCTGCATGCGTGAGGTCCCTACGGCAATGGAAGTAGACAGTTCTGAGGCTACAGGAGTGAAAGGTTAGCCTTGGACAAGATAGGAAAGGACTGGAGGGCGAACTAGGTAAAGGTGAGAAACGTCAGAGGGGGATGATGAAGGTGCCTGGGGGCACTCACGGGGGACGGGCTCTATTTCTCTGGGCTTTTCCCCTCACATCTAACCCCTCCTTTTCTGTGATCTCACAGCACTCTTCTTCCCTCCTCAGAGCCCTGCTGTCCTGTACTCTAAATGTCTGCATCTCCACTAGACTGGAGAGGGACCCTACCTGTCTACTCCACTGGGATATACTTAGCCCTGACGAAATGGTGGGCCCTGAGTAAATATTTCATTAAAGTAGTGAGAAAAAGACAGGAAGGGAAAGGAGGGAAGGTAAGGCATTGTTGAGAGTCGGGGAGCAGAGACGAGCCCCAGCATGGGGACTTCTGAGGGTACTACCCTGTCCTGAAGTGTAGGGAGACAGTCTGGGAGATGAGATGTTAATGTGGAGGGGTCAGGGTTCCCAACATACCTTGACCTTTGATCCCAAAAGGCGGCACAAATTCTCGGATCCTGGCCCACTTGCGGAAGGAGTCATCCAGGAACATGGGTGCAGGCTTGGAGAACCTGGAATACAATAGGGCTGTTGAGGACCCCCAAATGCAAAAGGCTAGAGTACTGGTGGGCTCAGCTGGAAGCCACCTTCCCATATTCCAGCTCACCCTTCCTACCCCAGCCTGTTCGCTGGGTAGGTGCTGTGTGGGGTCTGACAGATCTTGTTCAGTGGAGCCTGAGTTTAAAGAAGCAGGCCTGTCCAGTCCTCATGTGGCCAGCTGTAGGAGTTGGGAGATAAGACCCGTTCATCAGTGGAAGCTCGCTGGCAGGTTATCCAGGCATGCATCCATCAAATAGTCATTGCTGCCCACACTGTTCTTGTAATCTGGGGACACAGAGATGAGACACTGTCCAGTGGGGTGGAAAAATAACCCACAGTACAGCCAGAGCAGGGAGAGAGAATTTTGGAGAGCATCCTGGGAGATGGACCACCCAGGGTGAAGAGAAAGGAGAATTCATAATGAGAGGGCAAAGCAGGTGAACAGCCATAGGAGACGGACGTTTGGAAGAGAAGAGCAAAACTGCAGTATCCTGCGGCTGGGAGGCAGGGCTGAGGGGGAAGCGTCAGACAAGCGGGAGCCTGAGAACATTCGCTGGCCGAGAGAAGGACAGAGGGAACACGAAGCTCCTCAGGAGGTGAGGGACTGCTACGGAGGTTAAGGAGAGGGAGTAATTTTGGCCTCCAGGAAAGGTGGGAGAGAAAGAAGGGTGAAGTGATGCTGAGTTGAGGAGAAGGCAAAAGGCAAGTTTCACTTGTTTGGGGAAAGCGGATGAGGGCAGGGTGCAGGCTTGGGGAGGCCAGGACAAAGTCAGATAGGGTGCATCTGGGCACAGTGAAAGGTACAGGAGGAATCAAGCTCTTCAGAGATGCCTGGACAGCACGACTTCACATGGAATGAAGGATCCTGGTTTTGAGACCTTTTCCAGGGCACCTGACAACCTGGAAGGTGGCTAGCGCCTGGTTTTCTACTGTATGTTGAGTCTTGCTAGGGGGCCTGCTTAGGGTCTTCTTGGCCAAGAATGGATGTGTGAAGGCCTAGGCCTTGGTGGCTCCATCTCTTTACTTTCAACTCAACCTGAACCAGCCACTGAAAAACTGAAAACTGGAAAAGAGGCCTCCCAAGCCTAGAAGCTAGAACTTAGCCCCACTAATATACTCTAACTCAAGTATATATTTCTCATTCCTATCATCACTAACACCATTATAATCACCATGCCCAGGACGTATTATATCAGTAATCACTCAGAGGTCTAACATTATTAGAGGGTTTGAAGTGAACTTGAAGGAGGCAAAAAACTTTCAGTCCTGCTCCCTCCACATTACTCGCTGCTAAGAAGTTGTCAACACTTGAGAGCACAGAAAGGCCATTCCTGCAAAGCCACTCTCCCTTGGATTTCTGAGTTAGCTCACTTCCCTTCTGTGTGTAAGGGTCATGCATGTTTCTCATACCTGGTATATAAAACCTAATTGAATTAGTATATTTGATGTTATACCAGAGGCACTGAGGATCCTAGCCACAGTCCATGTGTAACAGCAAAGGAAACAAGGTCCCTAGAAAGGCCTGCAGGAAGAATATCTCCGTCTGTGTCGGGGCTGAGCTTATAAAAGTTTTGCAAAGTTTCTCAGTCATGCTTGGACAGGATTTTATCTGCTTCCCTGTATGTACTGGATGTCATATGCTAATAAAATCCCCTAAAGATCCAGCCAAACAGTCTCAACATTTTTCCTTCTTTCTCTCCCTTCACTCTTTCTTTCAGCTAATTAGAAAGTTTATTATGTTAATTTTTACTCTAAAAAAACCCCTCATTTTTGGTGTCAATTATAATATGTTAATTTTGGGGGAAAATACAGACAGGAGCGCACACACACACAATCAATAAAAAAAACCCATTAGCCTACAACACAGACACAAATTAACCTTTTGCTATCTATCTGGTACTGATTTTCCTTTGCCATATTATTTTTTAGACTGCTCTGTAGACTATGTTTTTACTTTATATTTCATGAAAGCATTGCTACGCAAATGGCACAACTTTTCTCCTAATTCATAGAGAGCAGGTCAAACAGCAAAACTGTAAACTTGGTAACCAGACACAAATCAATGCCCCCCAACCCCAATCAAATGTACAAGGATACACAAATGAAAATACGATCAAAAAGGTAGGAGTTGCAACAGCAGTGTTATGGACTAAATGTCTGTGTCCCCCCCCTCTTCCACCCTCAAATTCATATGTAGAAATTTAATCCCCAAGGTGAAGATATTTGGAAATGGAGGTCTCTGGAAGGTAATTAGGTCACGAGGGTGGGGCATTCATGAATGGGCTTAGTGCCCTTATACGAAGAGGCCAGAGAGCTAATTAGCTCTCTTTCCTCCGCATGAGAATATAGGAAGTCACCGTCAAGCACCCAGAAGAGAGCCCTCGTCAGAACCCAACCATGCTGTCACTGTGATCTCAGACTTCTGGCCCCAGAACGGTACGAAAACCTGCTGTTGTTGATAAGCCACCCAATTTATGGCATTTTGTTATAGAAGCCAGAGCTAAGACAATAAGTAATAGACAAGAAAAATTCAGGGGAGAGATCATGGCAAAAAGCATTAAATAGGCCTGATAAGGGTTTCTTAAAAATCTTTGCCTCTACTTATTTATTTCTTGTTCTTATTATCTGTTTTCAGACATTTTCCATTTCACCTCACTCTTCTATTGGACCCTCATGTTTTGGATTCTTATTTTGTAGACCCTCTTTGTATTCCTTGAAAGTTTGAGCCTGCTCTGCTCTAGCATGTCTTTCTGCTAGTTTCAGATCTCTCCTGTTGTGCAAAGGCTACTCTTGTTCCTTCTGTGTATTTATTTTAAAAAATTTTTATTATAGAAAATTTCAAATATGTACAAAAGTTGAAAAACAAAAACTAACCCAGCACAGTGAACTACTTCCCCCTCATGGACCCATTACCCAGATGTAGCAATTATCTATCGGTCGCGGTCAATGTTGTTCCTTTTATACTCCATCCACTTTCTTTCTGTATTATTTTGGAGAATCTCAGTATCATGCTACTTCACCCATAAAATATTTCACCATTAATTTCTAAAAGGTTACCTAAAAAAAAAAAAAACAAAAAAAAAAACCTAAACAAGTCCTTTTAAAACCATTGCCACATCTAAATCACACCTAAAAAACTAACTATAATTTAATAGCAATAAATACCGAGTCAGTTTTCAGATCTCTCCTATTGTCTCATTTATGTTTGTCACTTATTTTAATAGTTGGTTGTTATAGATCGAAATGAAAGCATGGTCTACACATTGAATTTGGCTGATCTCTATGTCACTTTTAAGTCCACAGGTTTCCTCCTCTCTCTTTTTCCCCCTTTGGCTTTTTCATCTTGGCTTCTGAATCTTTTTGACACATTTCAGTAATCTTAGATAATGTCCTTGCTTTATTGTATGTACAGATGTTCCAGGCTCATCTTGTATCTTTCTTGCCTCAGCCTGGAATCAATCACTTTCCCAAGGAGCCCTGGTTCCTTTAAATTGAAAATGGTATTTAGAGACCACCATCTGCATGGCTAGGGATGCTCATATTACTATGGGTTAGTCATTGTTCCCAGGACTTTTCAGGGAGACAAAGCTAGAAAATAATTTTTTGAAGAGAAAATACATCATGCATTTATATTGGTATTCTCAATTCAAATTCAGGATTACAAGATTTGTACTTATATATTTTTTTCCTTTTTAATAGCTTTATTGAGATATAATTCACATACCATAAAAGTAACTTATTTACTTACCTTTTGATTTTATATTTGTATCTCTTATCTCTTAAGCTGACATCCTTGTTTATAGTGACAGTAACACAATGACTTATTTGCTTTGTTCTTATATATACATATTGATTATTTACATACAAATATAGAAAAATATATAATAATTTCAGAACAGCTTTACTAACACTATCATTACTAAAAACAATTTAAAGTTTCTTTGCATTTTTCTGCCTTAGAGTATATACCCCACTAGACGAGTACAAATAACTTTGCTTTTGTCACTTGAAATAATTCTGCTGAGTTCAATTCATCAACGATACACAGTTAGGTTCATTTGTTTAATTTTGCTTCTGTTTTTTAGGGATTGCTCATCCCTCATTTTAATTTTCTTTTATGATAAAACTTTACATAGTTCCAAAAACAAATTCACGGAACATATTCAGAGAAGTCTAACTTTCATCTCTGTGTCTGACTTCTGTTAATTCTATTCCCATACAGTATTCATATTCATTTTTAATATTTGTATTTTATCATTCCTTTGTTATTTTTGGATATAAGCAAATACATGTGCATATTCCTTCTTTATTCAATAAAAAGGTAACATACCATATATACTATTTCACCTATTAATTTCTTTTCACTCTATAATATATTGTGGTGATCACTCCAAAGTAGTATAAAGTTATATGTCTTATAATACTCCATTAGGTTATGTACAATATATTATTTAATCACTCTCTTGTGTTGTTCCCAGTCTTTTATAAAGTTGGTTCCACCAAAGGTGGTTATAATGAATAATTTCATGTATATATCTTTTCTATTCGCCAATGTATCTTTGGAATAGATTCCTAGAAGTGGGTTTGTTGAGTCAAAGGAAAAACACAGACATGTAATTTTGCTCCTTACTGCCAAATTCTCCTCCACAGGGACTGTACTATTGTGCAATACCACCAGCAACGTACAAAAGTGCCATTTCCCCTATAGCTTTACAGAGTACATTGTCGAACATTTCAATTTTGCCAGTTTGATAGGTGCAAAATAGTATCTATTTCAGTATTGTTTTAATTTGTATATTTTTTATAAGTGGAATTGAATACTGTTTTATGTACGAAAAGGCCATTTGCAGTTCTTTTTCTGTGAACTTGATTCAAATCTCTTGCCCAGATTTCTACAGGGTTATTGGTCTTTTTCTTCCCACCTCTCCCCCAGCTTTATTGAGATATAACTGACATATGACATTGTGTAAGG